CTAGGTCATTCAAGTCTGGAGCCACCAGAAAAAAGAAGTGGCTGTTTGGGGGGTGGCAGATGATCAAGAGTTCAGATGCTGTGATGAGGATTGGGTTTTTCTCTCTGCCTCGCTACAAGCTGCGTTGCGGTTCCATGTCAAACACTATTAAATGAGAATGTTTTCTCTGGCACCCGTCCATCTTCTCCCCACAGTTTAAGTATTGAATTTTTTTTTTTTTTTAACTGAAGTCGCTTAGACTTACAGCTCAACGTCTAAAACTTGAAAATGTTATTTCCATAAATGTTGGCAAAAACCAGCCACTGTTGATTCCACCGGCAGTCATAATAAACGCTTTCCCGTTGACCACCTAACAAATCATTTTCTGTTTGCCACCGGGTTTGGTTCAATAAAATTTTTGTGCTCTTACAACTCCTTTAATAAGAACTCCTGAAAGCACACATTTCCTAAGGTGACTTCTGGGGCCAGTGTTCCCTCTGGTTCCCCTTCTAGATGCCAGAGGTGAGCACAAGAGGCTGGTGGCAGGAATTAGAAGCTTTCAAAAATCAGAAAGCTCTTAGTGTGCTGAATGTGCTGGTATGTGCTGCATTTCAGTCAGTCACTTTCAAACACATGCATACGAACAAACCGCCAGAAGTAAATTCTGCACATTAACGGGGGCCACGGGGGCAGGGGATGGCCTTTAGATCGCTCACAGTGGGTGCCCTCTGCTTGGGGTGCCCAAACGTCAGTGGGATTGGATGGAGCTCCCCTCCCATGATCTATGGTGGGCGACCAGCTTGAGGAAACCAAACAGAGCAAACATTGGGCTCTATTCACGAGGGTCAGAGGCCAAAAGGCGCATCTTAGGGTGGGCCTGAAAATCCCACAAAGCTTACAAATATGTTTGTCTTTTCAAAAGACAGGCCAGAACCTATGGAGGCTCAATCCAGGAATCTTCTAGGCTCTTCCAAGAAACACACTCAGGGAGGTGTTGGGTTGAGGTCGCTGAGTGCAGCTTGCACGCTGGAGTTTATGGCAGGCTTGGAGAAACCAGCCCACTTTTTTGTTAAAGATTGGTTTTGGTTTATTTTAAAATAAAAAATTTAGTCTCTTGGTTCCACAGCCTTCAATCAAAGTGCTGAAAATGTTACCACACTGCCACCAAGGTCTCTTCTTCAGGGGTAAGGTACTTTCCAATCCTCAGTGAAAAGAGGCAGATTCCAGAGAACGAGTGAAGACTCCCCCACCTCCTCCCTCCCATACACTTATGTGGAACATCATTATCCACAAAACAGCTCGCCCCAGGCTCAAAGCTAAGGGACCAAATGGAATCCCTGCAGGGTACACAGGTGGAGTGAGTCAGAATGCCCAACCCAGCCTGGTCCCTGTGGGGGGTTCTCCTTGCATTTCCTCACACAGCTGGGGGACAACTGCACCCAGGAGCTACGGGGGTGAGCAGCGGCCAGGTGCACAGTCGACACAGACTCAGGAACCCAGGGGCAGGGCGTCCACTCACTGGGCTCTCCTCTATTTCTCATCCTGCCCTATGACCCTCTCCCCCACTGACTTCAAAAGGATGCTTCTTGGGTGGACTGGAGGGTGTGGTGAGGAAAGAACGAACCCAGCCTTCCATGGGAAAGGCCACGTTTCCCAGCAGGAAGTCATGTGTGATCTGACTCAAGGCTGGGCTGGGGGGGCCCTGACTGGGAGGCTGCTTGTGGACATAAGCGCACTTCTTAATGAAGCCAATAATAACACTAACTTCTTTGGCCACACGGTCTCCTGAAAGTACAGCCTCTGCTGATGGGGGCAAACGCAGCCAAAGAGAGCAGTAGTAGGGTTGGTACCCTGGAAGCAGAACCTAGGATGGGGATCTTTGTGCAAGCAAGAGAAGGATGCTCTCAGAAGGGAGATGAGGGAGAAGGAGCAACAGAAGGATGCATCTGAGTTCCCAGAAGTAGGGGTAGTGTGAGAGGAGGCAAAAAAAGAAGGCTGGAAAAACAAAACTTTGTGAGGTTTTCACCCCTAATTAATCACCATTACACTAAAAACACCAAACTCTATCTCCTTGAGGAGTGACTGAAGGTCAAAGACGTTCATTCCTTTCCATGCCGTAGCGGGACAGGTCCTGTCTTCTAAATGCCATGCGAGTTGTGATGATTAAGGTTGTGTGTCAACTTGGCTGGGCCATGAATCTCAGTGGTTTGGCAGTCATATGATGTTGTGATCACCTCCATGATGGGATCTGCTGTGAGTAGCCAATCAGTTGAAAGGGAGTTTCCTTGGGCTTGTGGCCTGCATCCAATATAAGTGGACATTCTGGCAAGGCTTGGGGGCAAATTTGCTTGCACTGGACCCTGCAGCTGGCTCCTGTTCATCTGACCTCCAGTTCTTGGGACTTGAGCTAGCAGCTTACCTGCAGTCTTTCTGCCAATCTTGGGATTCATCGATCTTCAAAGCCTGTGAGCAAGAGCCCTGCTCTCTGACCTGCCAGTCTTGGGTTTGCCAGCTCCCTGCAGCTACGTGAATCAGGAGAAGCCTCTATCCTGACCCACAGACTTGGGGACATTCCAGCCTCTACAACCACATGAGCCATTTCCTTGATACAAATATCTCTGTATATATATCTATGTTTTACTGGTTTTGCTTCTCTAGAGAACCTAGCCTAAGACACCAGACTCCTGCCTCCATCCCTGGAGGGTCCCATAGACAAAGTGGCTTTGTGGAGGAGGAAATAAGGTTTAATAAACAAAGCTTGGCATCCAGAGCATCACACTCTCCTGGTTTTCCTATGACCTCAATGGCAGCCCCTTCTCAGTCTCTTTAGCTGGTTTCTCATTTCCCAGAGAGCCCCAGAGCTCTGTCTTTGGCCCAGAATTTTCTCATGCTTCTCAATATGCACAATCTAGGTGTAGCTTCATGGTTTTAAATGCCATTTACAAGCTGATTCCACTAGTGGGTGCTGTGGTACTCCTTCCAGATCCCCTTCATGGAGCCAGTACCCATCACTAGCACCCCTCCCCCACCACTGTGCATGGTGGCTGCCGATGGCCCACACTGCCCCTTCCAGAGAATTGACCTCACCTGGCCAAGTGATTTGCCTTCAAAGGTACACCCTCCGCCAACAGGGACTTCCCACAACCAATAATTGACTGATAGAGGTTCTCATAGGTTTCTCCCAAGATCACTCCACAATAAACTATGTGCATTCTAATCCCTTCCTCAGGGTCTGCTAGGGAACTTGACCTGAGAAAACTCTCAAAAACAGTCTGAACCTCTTCTCCCAACCTCAGATCGCGTGCTTTGTGCCAAATCCCTTACTCTCCCATCCACCCCCATCTTCTTCATTTCAGTGAATGACAACTCCATCCTTCCAGATGTTCAGGCCAAAAACCTTGACTTCTTTGTCATCTCCTCTCTTTCTCTCAACGCTCCACATCCAATCTGTCAGTAGATTCTATTGGCTGTGCTTTCAAGAATAAATCTAGAATTCGATGACTGCTCACCACCACCTCCATTGCTACTTCCCAGGTTCAGGCCAACATCCCTGGCTGTAGCTTCCTCCTGACCAGTATCCTTGCTTCCACCCTTGCTCATGTTCCATTTTTTGCAATATGGCAGCCACAGAAAGAGCCTTGTAAAATGGAAGTTAATCAAGGCACTCCTCCACTCGAACCTTCCAGTGGCTCCCGCCTCAGAACAGATGCCAAAGGCTTTACACTGGCGTTGAGGCCTCAAGCCATCTGCCCTCACCCCCACCCCATATACTTATACCTCTCTAACCTTATCTCCTACTCGTTCCCTTTCCCAGTCCACTCCTTGGCCTCCTTGCTGTTCCCTGCCCACACCAAGCATGCTCTCGGTTTAGGGTACTGCACATGCTGTTCCCTCTGCCTGGAATGCTTTTCCCGGAGACTCTTTCCATCAGTTCTCTGCTCCAATGTCACTTCTCATGTGGCCTTCCCTGGCCACCCCGTTAAATGCTGCAGCCACATCCCTAGGATTTCTTACCCCCTTCCCTGCTTTATTTTTCTCCATAGCAATCATCACCATCAGGTACCTTGTATATATTTATTCTGGTTTATTTGTTGTCAGTCTCTCCCTGAAGAATAAGCTCTGTGATGAGAACTTTCATACTTTATTCTGTGCAGTATCTGCACAGAGGAGCCCTGGTGATGCAGTGGTTAAGAGCTTGACTACTAACCAAAACGCTGGCAGTTCAAATCCACTACAGGTCCTTGGAAACCCTGGGACAATTCTACTCTGTCCTATAGGGTTGCTATGAGTCGGAATCAACTCGACGGCAACGAGTTTTTTGTCTGTTATTCTGTGCAATAGCTCCAGTGCATAGGTCACGGCCTAGCATATAGTAGTTGCTAAAAAAATATCTATTGAAAAACTGAATTCAATCTAGACACCCTCTGGTTTTCTTCCATTTCCAGCTCTGAGCATTATAACTGAGCAATGTCTTCAAGTGGGAACAACCAACCATTGTAAGACCGGAGTGCAAAAGTGTTGGGCAAAAGCCATTTTTCTGCACTTTACACTGTCTACTCAACTCGCTTTTCAATGGGTGCCAAAACGGGGCAAGTCAGATTGAGTGAAGACCATCGTGAGGCTTGTAGAAGCTTAGCTCTGATCCTCCACCATCTTTCTGACCAGGGGATGGGAAAAGGGAGAGTAAAATCTGGACCAGGCAGTGTTTCCTTCTGACTTGGAACTGACTCGACAGCACCTAACAACAACAAAATGTGGAAGAGCAGAGGCCAAAGTAGGTTTCCACAACAATCATCTTTTAGGAGTGTGTCTCTTATTCAAAAAATAACACTGATTTTTCTGGAGGGAAGAAACAAACAAACCACAGAAGACTGTCCTTCCAGCCAGAGTGGTGAGAAAGGTGGGTAACGTGGGGAAGGCAGATGTGAACATGGGAAGAGAGGTGCAAACACAGGGAAAGCAGGTATGAAGATGGGAAGACAGATGTGAACATGGGGAAGGCAGGCTGATCCCTGGTTACATGGAGGGAGAGAGATGGGGGCCTCCCTTTCACTTCACAGAGTGAAGGGGAGGCTCTGAGGTATCAACAACCTGGCATATTAGGAACAAGGAGGACAAAGAATTTTGTGTTTCCTGAACATTGAAGGGAAGTCACTTTGGTTGCTGTGGACTAGCTGGTCTCGTCCATCTCCAAGAGGTCATCCACGTATTCCACAACCTCTCCCTGTAAGAGACAAAAGCACACCTCTGTTAAGTGGCTACCTGACTTTAAAAGCATTGGTGAGCAGAGACTATTTCCAAGAGGCCATTGCTCACTGCCTTCTCAGGCTAGCGTGGACTTTCTCCTCTGGTCTTGGGCCCGGAGGACCTGACTTCTCCCTTGGAATGGACCTTGGTTTCCACTCTACGTGGACTTGGCACCATGTGCTCTGTGACCACAGAGGACCTGCATGAAGTGAGCAGCCCAGGCACCCTCTGAAAGACTCCACTTAGTACCCACCCTTCTGTGCAGCCTCCACGCACCCTCGCTCTCCCTCCCATTAGCAGTTATCACACAGGACCACGATCTGTCTGTTCCCTTTCTGCCTTGACCACCAGACCACGAGCTCTTCAAAGACCAGGACCTGGGTTTATCTTTCTTCCTCATAGCCTGGCGTATAGAAGGTGCTCAATGAACGTGCTGAAGGATGAGTGGCTGAGTACATGCATGGATATTGCTGGTATGGCTGGAATACTCACTCCACTTAAAAGAGAGACTCTTGGGAAAAGTGAAACCCATCTGCCATTGGTACCAGAAACCCACCCACCTGCTCCCTCCTGCAACTAGCATACAGGGGCTCACCCCATAGGAGTCCAGCATACTTCCCAATTTCCTTCTCTGTATTGATCTTTCTCCCAAAGCCTACCTGGGCCACCAGCTGATGACACCCATTCTCTCGACTTCAGAGAAGGAATGAATCACCAAGAAGGCCGACCCTCCCTCCCTTGAGGGTCAGCACAGGCCAGCCCCATCAATGGTGACCTCCTCTTGCTAAAGCTTGGCCTCCCTCATAGAGGTCACCATCCCAGGCCAAGAGCTTATTTGTTCCTTTTTATACTGTAACACAGAGGTTAATAAAATATCTCAGCATTTGAGAGCAGTTGGAAAATCTGTCAAGTACCTGAGACACAAAAGAGAGGTCTTATTATTTTCATCAAATACTTCTACCATGCCATGCCGAAGATTACAAATTAAAGTCATGGGAGTAGAAAGCCACTGCCTGAAAAACAGTGTTCTTCAGCTGTTTTCTGGACCCCAAAAAATGACAGTGTGGTATGGTATAGGGTTTATATGTATAACCAAGACATCTGTTGTCAGAGTTACTGTTTCCTGTTGTGGAGATGCTGTGACATGGGGGATGATAATACCTCCTGCCTGTTGTTGTTAGGTGCCGGCAAGTTGGTTCCAACTCATAGTGACCCTGTGTACAACAGAACGAAACACTGCCCGGTCCTGTGCCATCCTCACAATGCTTGTTATGCTTGAGCCCATTACTACAGCCACTGTGTCAGTCCACCTTTTTGAGGGTCCTCCTCTTTTTTGCTGACTCCCTACTTTACCAAGCATGATGTCCTTCTCCAAGGACTGGTTCCTCCTGATAACATATCCAAAGTATGTGAGATGAAGTCTCGTCATCCTTGCCTCTCTAAGGAGCATTCTGGCTGCACTTCTTCCAAGACAGATGTGTTCATTCTTCTGGCAGTCCATGGTATATTCAATATTCCTTGTCAACACCATAATTCAGAGGCGTCAATTCTTGTTCGGTCTTCCTTATTCTTTGTCCAGCTTTCGCAGGCGTATGAGGCGATTGAAAATACCATGGCTTGGGTCAGGCACACTTTAGTCTTCAAGGCGGCATCTTTGCTTTTTAACACTTTAAAGAGGTCTTTTGCAGCAGATTTGCCCAATGCAATGCATTGTTTGATTTCTTGACTGCTGCTGCCATGGGTGTTGACTGTGGATCCAAGTAGAATGAAATCCTTGAAAACTTCAATCTTTTCTCTGTTTATCACAACGTTGTTTATTGGGCCAAACGTCTGCTTAGAGATCAGTAATGTTATTATTATTGTAATATTAATATTACCAGTGAGCTCTAAGCTCCATTAGTCACCTTCTGCTTTGATCTCACTAATAATATTAAGTGTCCAAGTCAATACAGGTGAAAGAAACCTCCTCCATATGGCCTGCTGTAGGGGATGTTGTTGGTGCCTCCCGCAGATCTCCTTCTTTGGTGCACACATCCCACAGCTGCTATGAGTGTTGGTTGCAAATGGCTGGCAGCTGCTGCTTCTCTGGATAATTGCCCTTGGCTGAAAGGAGTAGCCTCACCAAAGAGGTTACACACCAACCCCTCTCAGTAGGCAACAACCAATGACAGGCCGGTAAACCAAAATCAGTTGCCGATGGATTGATTTGAATCCAACTCATGGGGACCCCATGTGTTACAATAGGACTACTTCATAGGGTTTTCTTGGCTATAATCTTTACGGAAGCAGACCGCCAGATCTTTCTTCCATAGTGCTACTGGGTGACTTCAAACCGTCAACTTTTGATTTAGTAGTCGTATGCTTAACCATTTATGCCACCCGGGGACTCCTGATAGAATGACAGGCTGGTCCAAAACAATAAATAAATAAATAAACTCATTGCCGTCAAGTCGATTTTGACTCATAGTGACCCAACAGGATAGAGCAGAACTGCCCCGCAGGGTTTCCAAGGAGCGGCTACCAGACTCGAACTGCTAACCTTTTAGTTAGCAGCCGAGCTCTTAACCACTGCGCCACCAGGGCTCCAACAGACTGGTAAGAGGGGCTAAGAAAAGCAGGACTGACTCTGTGGTACAATTCATGCCCCAGAGTGCCCCACGGGATCAGACTAAGCTTGACTCCAGCTGAGACCACATACATTCCTAGCTCCTTCCCTTGCCCCTGGCTTCCTTTTACCTACCTAAGAACACTCCCTCAATACATCACTCCAGCAAATTACCTTCTATTTCCTTTAGACATTCCCGAAGCAAACACTCATCAAAACCTGAAGCATCTATTTCAGTCTGCTTTATAAAGCTCCTGAAACTAATCCCTGTTGCCGTCCAGTCGATTCCAACTCAAGTGACCCTATAGGACAGAGTATACTTGCCCCACAGGGTTTCCAAGAAGCAGCTGGTGGATTTGAACGCCGACCTTTCTGGTTAGCAGCTGAGCTCTTAACCACTGAGCCACCAGGGCTCCAAAACTGTCATAGGCTTCGGCAAACTTTTTTACCAGTGTGCCAACTTTCAGGAACTCTCACACACATTGCGATGCCACAAAGATAATGTCGCAGTTTTCTAGCGCTGCTATAACAGAAATACCACAAGTGGGTGGCTTTAACAAGCAGAGATTTATTTTCTCACAGTTTAGGAGGCTAGAGTCTGGATTCAGGGTGCTGCTCAAGGAGAAGGCTTTCTGTTGGCTCTGGAGGAAGGTCCTAGTCTCTTCTGAGCTTCTGCTCCTGGGCGATCTTCATGTGGGCTGGCATCTGTCTTTCTCCATCTCTGCTTTCTTGTTTGATCCCATTTATATCTCAAAAGAGACTGACTCAAGACACACCCTACACTAATCCTGTCCATTAACATAACAAAGACAACCCATTCCCAAATGGGATTATAACCACAGGCATAGAGATTAGGATTTATAACACATATTTTTGGGGACACAATTCAATCCATAACCGATAATAAAGACCATTCCACAACATTTGCCCAAAACCAAAGATGAGAAAACTGGGAGGGACAGGGAAACTGGACGAATGGAAATGGGGAACCAAGGGAGGAAATGGGGAGAGTGCTAACACATTTCGGGGATTACAACCGAGACCATGAAACAATCTGTGCAAGAATCATTGAATGGAAAATTAATTTGCTATGTAAACCTTCACCTAAGTTCTACTCTGTCCTATAGGGTCGCTATGAGTCAGAATCGACTCGACAGCAACTTGTTTGGTTTTTTAAAGCACAATAAAATGTTAAAAAAAGGAAAAGAAAGAACATTCCACAAATATCAGTAGACAAACTGAGCTGACGCTTTGTTTCAAGTCAGTATTTGTGTCCTTTGAAGAATTTAAGGATGAAACTAAGGATTTCATTGTATCGGTTTTGTTTTCAGTTGGAAAATATTACCTGCCACAATTTGTTATATAAAATATATAATGTGTAAGAAAATAGCTCATTCTTTATAGATGGATTAATTCTTTCACTATTCTAAAACCTCATTGAACTCATTTAATAAGCTAACTACTCCAGGGCCTTCAATGTTGTGCTTTTTATCTTCAGAGTGCCCAGTCCAAGAATGCTACGAATTAGAAAGCCTGGAAACCCTGGTGGCGCAGTAGAGCTACAGCTGCTAACCAAAAGGTCGGCAGTTCGAATCCACCAGCTGCTCCTTAGAAACTCTATGGGGCAGTTCTACTTTGTCCTGTAGGGTCGCTATGAGTCGGAATCTACTTGACGGTAATGGGTTTGTTTTTTTTTTTTTTGGAGTAAGCCTGGTCTCTTTCAGTGGATGACTGCTAACCAGCTGTGTGCCTCTGAGCAAGTCACTCTACCTTGCTGCATTTGTCTACTCCTCTGTGACATGAGCTTTACTGAATCTGCTCCAGTATCTATGATTATTTCTAAACACACTGTTCTTGTACATCAAAAGCTTTCAAAATAGTCATAGCCTTACATGCAGGAATTCTACCTCTGGAATTTATCCTAAGGAAATGGTCAGGGAAGAGGAGAAGGATTTAGTCACTGCTGTGTTATTTATCAGCCTGGGTGATGCAGTGATTAAAGCACTTGACTGCTAACTGAAAGGTCGGTGGTTCAAACCCACCAGCCACTCAGCTGGAGAAAGATGTGGCAGTCTGCTTCCGTAAAGACTTACAGCCTTGGAGATCCTATGGGGCAGTTCTATTCTGTCCTATAGGGTCACTATGAGTCAGAATTGATGTGACGACAGTGCGTGGGTTTTATTTGTAAGAGCAAAAAGTTGGAAGTCACCTATACGTTTATAAAAAGAGCTTTATATTTAAAAATCCCATGCCATGGAATATTACTCAGTCACTAAAAAGTCATGTTTACAAAGAACATTAACTTACAAAAGAAACAAAAATGACATGATCCTCTCTATAGACACAGAAAAGGCATTTGACAAAATCCAGCA